TGTCAAAGGGGGTCTGTTCTCGGATATAAAGTATTGAACCCACTCAATTTATATTATTGATATACACTTGTGAATGTGTGTAGTCGGTTTTTGGTGTTCACCATACACAAAGTCCCCATTTGTCGGTATTAAAACATAATATGCGTCCTCGGTTGATCACATTAATAACTGTTCTATCGCGATATTGTGCCATACATCAATTTTAAACAGTTATTTTGTATTTTTCCCATGTGTGGTCCAAGGGTTGTGGGGTTGGGGACAAAAACGTAGTAAGTGTCAAGTCCACAGTTTGATTGTATAGAGCAAATGACCTCGTTTGGCGGCGTTCCCATAATTACACCATGCGTGTCCTCGATTAGGCGTAACTAGCATAGGGACTCGGTCGGTCGTATTTCCCCAATTATTTGCAAACTCCAGTGTGTCCGCATTTCTTCCGTAAAAAGTCAAATGCAGAAAATATATAAATTGAGGTATGATTTATATCTTTTCATAATCGTTTGATGTAATAGAGTTCATAAATAACAATAAATGCAATATTTATCAAGACCTCGATTAGGAGGATCCATTCGAAGGCCTCGATTGACACCATTTACATGTATGTGTGTGTTGGGGGGGGGGGTCTAATGGTCCAACGTGTGCACTTTAGAACCATATGCGCCATACAGTGTGCCATGAGGTAATGTTGCCCAGACAGAGCGACACTACGGTCAATTCAGCGAGCAAGCGTCTATTTTCTTCGCGAGACAGCATGACTCACCGAGTAGAGTTTATACATGTAAGTTTTGTTTTATCAGACGAGATTCGCTTTTGGTGTTCCTGTTAGTGGTAATGGCAGGACTTGTGGTTCCTGCTGAAAGTTGGAGGAGAGTTAGAGTTAGAATTAGACTATAATAAGGAGGTTTTGAAAAGATATTAAACCCTCAGTAATCAAATCGAGTTTAAAAAGCATACTTGCGGGAAAATCTGCTCAAGTGGTGGATCTTGATACTCTGACGAGATCTTTTGAATTGAATCGAAAATCAGATGACTTTCGTGATTTCTCAAGATCTATAAATTTAATGGTAAGTCTACTTTCGCTTCGGCGGGAAATTCCTTGTTGTATGTCACGAGTATATTGCCATCAATGTGCTTCCATTTAAACATGCATTATGTAAGAGCTAAATCTTATCATTGCAGGTCTTTCTTTAGGCCTTAAATGCTATATAAATTATTAATTAGGCATTTATTAATATAACAAGACCATAATCAACTCTTGATGCGATCGGCTACCCGAGATTTTAACTAGATTAGAATGGTTCGTCATTTAATAATTTCATTTAAAAATGGGAAAGCGAGACTAAGACTTGAATGTACCAGTACCGTGGTTACAATAATAAACAATCAATGCACACATCTTATCAAAACTACAGTGATAACTTTCTCAGAATAATGTAATTGAATGAAATTTCCAATATATTCCTTTTGCATTATCTATTTTTGAATAGTTATAGCAAGAACGGCCAGCTCTTTATCTAAACCTTTTATAATGTATCTCTAATTTAAAATACATTAAAAATATCAAACTATTATAGCAAGAATGACCAGCTCTTTATCTAAACCTTTGATAATGTATTTTTAATTCAAAATGCATTAAAATATTGCAGAAAAAATAATCTTCTGTGTTAGTACACCCAGTATATCTCTGAAAATATTTAAGAGTCATTCCACGATAAAACCATACAGAAGGTGGGAAGGTGAGGATCAGCAGATTAAGTTCATCTCGGGGGGATTTTATGGACTCCTCAAGACTACTTCACAGCCAGGGGGGGCGATCTCAAAATTTCCCCGTTATTGAGAAACAGCCTCTGGTTGATTTTTGGCCAATTTTGCCATTTTTGCCATTTTTCAGGTCATTTTTGGTCAATTTTTCAGCCACGCGTATACTATCTCCCTGATAATGTCTGTCTTCTACATCGTTAACACTGTTCATCACGTGCATTTTGCATACCGATAGTCCATTGGCCAATCACGCTATTTTACCGAGATTTCGCCTAATAGTTTGGATGCAGCTATGGTGGGTGGGCGCCAGGCAGGGTAAGCTTACTCTTCCGGACATCTGTTACCACTGTTTGTCGTGTATTTTGTACACGGTGAACAGTCCATATGCTGATTACACTATTTTGCCTTATTACACTATTTTGCCTATACCGTTTTTTTTAGGACTTCGAATTTTGTCTAATGGTTTGGATTGTTCATACTTGGTTTTATTTTATTGTAGCGAGTCTAGGGTTTGGATGGAAATGGTGGTGATTGGTGATGTTAGTGGGGGTCTTCCTGTGCCCTAGTGTGAAGACCATAAAGTCGCATCTATTCTCTGGGAGTAATGCTCAGCACAATTGTAACATATGGCGACTAAAACAGTAAATATACACCTGCGAAAATTAGCTCTATTTTCTATGATGCGGGATAGGTCAAAATATCGAAATTCAATCAATGCGAAATAATAAGTCAAAGTTGGTGAATTTTCCCTATTGTAATCTCTCATTCTCTGTGAAATGGCCAACTACTTTCATTCAGAGTAAGCCAGCTTTCTCCATTTCTTCACCAAATCATTCGCTTGAAACCCGCTCGAGCAAAACTAGTCTCTTTGATGATGATTGGTATCCCATCCATGATGGCCGTGCTCGAGACCGCAGAAAATTGTGTTTTTTCTTCATTTTTGGCCATAGAATGTGGCACATATCCCAGATATGAGCAATGATATGACTTAATAGATTGAAAGAGTGTACTAAGGACATTAAGGAATGTCACTTAGCACATTACATAGCAATTAGTGAATTGAGAACCGAATGGGAGCTGATTTCTTGACGAAGTGGGATTTTTGATCTTGATAAGTCGATTCTAGATAGAAAGGTGATATGTGCTGCCCATCGCTACCGCCTGGGTCTCAAATGGAATATTCCAAAAGGATGTAAACAATATGCTTTCCATAATGAGGAAATGGGCTGTCAAAAGAGCCAAGTCCAACACCACCTAAGGTTAGTTCTTCCAAAAAAAATTCATCATAGGATCATTTTCAGAGCCCAAAATAAATCTTGCCATGCCCTTTAAACTAAATTTGTATATGAAGGACATTTCTATCAGGGACCACCTCTCGAAATATTGTTGATATCAACCCCAACGTATATGGGCCATTGAAAATTTTCTTGCATCGAGTCTCCAGAGGATGGACTGGTTGGTAACAGGGACCCGTGGAAATACTTAGAAAATAATTTTTGTAAATTATTTTATGTGGTTTGGTTGTTTCAGGTTACTGTTGGAACTGGTGGCATCTCTCCCACTGCTACATCATCTGCAGCTACTGGTAGTGCTGCTTACATCCATCATCAATCTACTGCTACTACATCATCTGCAGCTATGGGTATTGCAACTGCCACGCTGCCTCTTCCTTCTGTAACCGCTATTGGTAGCGACACCAGTGACAGTAATGACTACCAATAATAGGCCTAGATCAGGCAATGAGGATTACATGCAAAGATCCATTTTGGACTCCGAAAATGATCATATGATGACGTTGAATATTTGACCCTATGCCATATTTTTTTATTTCAGGAACTACCCTGAGGCGGTGTAGGAACTTGGCTCTCTTGACAGCCCATTTCTCCATTATGAGCAGCATAATATTTCCGGCATATACATAGCATAGAAAAAAACCATTCTAAAATTAACAAGAATTTTTTAATGCTGCCAAAGTTTTAAAAACAAAGCAGAGAACTGGCCTTTAGTAAAGGTATTACAACTATTTCAGACTCAATGCAGCTGGTTTGAGGACTTCTGAAGCCCATCGCTTAACTCAGTCAACTGGAGTATCACCGCACAACTGTTTTCTGCTAATTTGATTGTGATCGAGCACACACACAAGGTTTCCATCGATATTTCAAAGACACAATTTCTTCCTTCTTTTTTTCAATAGTATTTTATTTCACTTAGCCGTTCCAATTGGAATAAGTTGATTCCAAGTGACACAACGCGGTCTTTGTATGGGTTCTCCTTAGATGTGGCAGTATGCATCCTTTTTGGAATATTCCATTTAATGCAGCTTCGTCAAGAAATCAGCTCCCATTCGGTTCTCACATCACTTATTGCTATGTGATGTGCTAAAAGGTGGGCCTTAATTTCCTTAGTACATTTTTTCAATCGTATGAAGTCATCCTCTTGGTCATATCTGGGATATGTACCACATTTAATGGCCAAACATGAGGAAAAACCACAATTTTGTGCGCTTTCGGGCACGGCCATCTTGGATTGGATACAAGGCCCCATCAAAGAGACTAATTTTGTTCGAGGGGGTTTCAAGCTGCTACCAATGAGCGCGGGCGAATGATTTGGTGAAGAAATGGAGAGAGCTGGCTTACCCTGAATGAAAGTAGTTGGTCATTTCATAGAGAATGAGAGTTTTACAATAGGGAAAATTCACCAACTTTGACTTATGATTTCGCATTGATTGAAGAGAGGTGACAGAGATTTTATTTCTCAGTGGTGGATTCACTTGCTGACGAACACGTCGATCCAGTTCGTCCCAGATGTGTTCAATAGGATTAAGGTCGGGGCTAAGCGACGGCCAATCCAGGACTTGGACACCGGCATTTCTTAAAAAATTCTGGGTAGCAATTGCTGTATGAAAATAACAATTTTAATTTGTTTTTCCAGTTCAAGTTACGTGTGCGTGTTCAGTTTAAGCAAACTTGCGTCGATTGACCTCACGAGTTTGTGTTTGCACGTGTTTTTCAGGTTTTTCATCTTTATATGCGCAAAAGTCACGTGATCCACGTGACTTTACAATTTTATGAAATTAAAGGCTTCTTACTACTTACTATCTGAAGCCTTTAAAAAATTTGAACCGTCTGTATCAAATTATAACCTTCGAAATGAAAATCTGAACCTCAATCTACCATTTTGTAAAACGAGTTCATATTCTAATAGTTTCTTTCCCTGCACAATTAAACTTTGGAACAACTTACCTGAAAATATTAAAACTTCACAAACGTTAAGTACATTCAAATTGGGCCTTTCACGCGTGTATCCTTTAATTAGACCACTACTATATTATAATACTGGAAATAGGAAAGAGAATATTTTTCATTGCCAATTAAGAAATAAAGCTAGTAACTTAAATAATCACTTATTCTACCATTTTATTAGTGACACAAAGATGTGCCCTAGGTGTAATTCTGCTGACGAAGATAATTACCATTATTTTTTCATATGTCCAGCCTACTCTGCCCCAAGAAAAATTCTAAAAAATAATCTACACCACCTTAATCAAAATGTTACAATTGACCTGATCCTATATGGCAACCCCTCTCTTTCAGATAATACCAATTCCAACATATTTGAAATAGTGCAAACATACATAAAAGACAGCAAGAGATTTTAAAACTTTAACATTTAAAACTTAAAATTACACTTCAAAATGTATATATGTTTGTTACTCACTGTCTGTACATATGTCACCACTGTATTGTAAACATAAGATTTAACTATTTTATATGTTTGGAGAGAACTTATATAGGCCTTGCCTGTTGTTCAATCCAATTCAGTTTATTGAATAAAATATTGTTTAAACTAAACTACTACTTACTATCGTTAGAAACACTTTAAAATTTATATGACTTACCAGAAAAAAAAATTGTTGAAATTCATCAGTGTCAAGTTTTTAATTTGGCTGAGTATATTAATCAAAGCACTCAAATATTAAACCACATGACTTACCCCAATTAAAATATATTACAATATAGAGAAATGGGGCTTAACGTCCACTGGACACAAACTTGGTCATCACGGGACTAATATATGCTTCATTTTTATTTCAATAATACGCTTGTGCGCAGACGTCTTTAGTAGAGAGGGGTGGGGGGGTGCTGTGGACTCGGTGAAAACACAGGAGGTCATACAAGTTTCTGAGATATGCTGTAGAATAATAATTATATATATACCTAAAACTGTGTGTGCTAAGTTTCAAAAAGCTATCTTGAACGGTTTATGAGATATGCTCCGGAAACAAAATCCTATACCAAATTTGTCTCCATGGAAACACAAAAAATATAAATCCAAGAAATTCCTAAATAACAAAAGGCACAACTAATGTAATAGGTTGATGTGTGTGAAAAGTGTCTAAAAGATATCTTGTATGGTTTATGAGATATGCTCCGGAAACAAAAATTTACACCAAAAACGGGTTATGAGATATGCCACGGAAATAAAATTGTACACCAATAACTAAGTTCAATTTGTTTCCATGGAAACACAAAAAATATAAATCTCAGAAATTCCTAAATGGCAAAAGGCACAACTACTGTAATAGGTTGATGTGTGCACAAATGTTGAACGATTTATGAGATATGTTCCGGAAACTAAATCGGGACGGACGGAACTTCGTTCGGCGCGGGATTAAAAAGGTAATCCAGTTATTTGCTTACAATTATTATTGTGAAGACGGTATTCTGTTTCATACCAACTAACAATTTCAAAACAATGTATGCGAATTACACCTCGCGGGTTCCAAAAACCACTTTGATTCAGGAATGTACAATGTAAACATACAGTACAATTTAATTATACTGGAGATCTGAACTCGGTTTGCTTCTCGTAAGTGGCCGTAACAATGGGTATACGCGAAGTCCCCCCCCCACCACACACACACACCGAGGGAATTTTGTTTAAGAGCTAACTGAAATTGGTACTAGAACATTATTCTGATGTTTCTGGCTGGTGCACAAATCAATTTGGCAGCCCAGACCTCAACGAGTGGCAACCTTACCAATTTATCAAAAACAACGCAAATTAAAGGCTGACAAGAGCCTCTGAACAAAACAGAAACAAAAAATCCCCAAAACTATATAAGAACATTAACTGCTATTTGTGTCCCGAAGCCTACGATACCCATCTTATTTCACCCCTCGCTCACCACGTTCGATCTATTTGTCGGTCTACCTGTTGACCGTGAATGAAAAGCGTTTGCTTAGCAGTTAAAGAGTTTTTGATTCAATCGAATATGGGCCTACGCCTATAGTCAGAAGGCAAAGCGTGTCCGATAATATTAAAATTAATTTTATAAAATAAAAAATCACTAGATGGGATTAAAGCAAAAGACATTTATTCAAAACGAGTAGATTCTAAATATAGTAAACCATTATCAATAAGTAAATGGGAAGAAGAGAATAGTTTTAATTTAGAAGAAAGTGAAATCTCACGTGTCTTCAATTTGGTCTATAAAACGAGCATTAACACTAGGTTACAGAACTTCCAATTTAAATACCCCCATAAAATTATATATACAAACGACCTTTTATTTAAAATTCAATTAAAAGAATGTTCTTTGTGCGATTTTTGCTATTCAAATATAGAAACTCCAGGACACATTTTTATATACTGCAATTACGCACAAGTAATATGGAATGATTTGCAGGAAATCTTTTCAACTAATGACATATCAATACAATTACAAATTATATACATTCATTTTGTTTTTTTGAAAAAAAAACCCAGGTTTTAAATCATATCTTATTTGTAAATCATTTAATATTTTTAACAAAATATTACCCCTATAAGTCGAAAATAGAAAATATTAGACCAACAATTATTAATTATCGAAACTACGTGAAAAGTAAACAACAGATAGAAAATGAATTAAATGAAACCTTAGTAAATAAATATGACACAATATGATTATCTTTATATATTGTGTTTTAGTTTATTTGTGTTTCTGTTTTTTCTACTAAATCAATTTTAAAAATATAGTATAGCTTTCAATAATAAATCAATGTTTTGTATGATTATTGTTTTAATGTGACGCTGAGATATGATGTTACACATTGTGAATGTAATGTGAACTATATTCTATGTCGTTTTTATAGATTATTTCCAGTCTAGGTTTCCCTTGACAGTGGTGCAGCGGCAAAGTTATATAGTCGTTTCGATGGCAGGAAAAACCTTTGTTGGCGAACTATAACAGTTTAAATTGGATGTTTTGTCGCACAAAACAATAAACACATCAAATACATCCGAATTTATTTTCAGATTCACATAAAAGGGCGCCATTTTTAGACCACAAACATTGAACAAATGTACACCATTACTTCTTTTATCGGAATTTAGTTACTGGATTGCTTGATGTTACACAATATGAGGATTTAAAACATTACCATGTCAGCTTTGACATTACAAGGTGATATCGTAGACAAGATTTGACACACGAACAGGCGATTGGTTAAATATCCCTATCATGTCAACTGTGACACAAGGAATGGGGTAGGGGGATTCGTTTAATATCACTTATGACCAGATGGTTAACTCATTAACAGATGGTTGGCTTGGGGCATGTAATGTCCGTTGACGGCTTGTAAAGTAATTTGTACTGAAAGCTTACCTGGCATTATGCAATAGTCCAGCTGTGTAATCGTTTTGCAACCTGTCGGTAGCTGATAGACTAGCGCTTTCTACCCAATCGGAGCATAGTCCATCCTCTTCTGAAGACTATCCATTCAGGCCACAGTGTGTGGGCGTGGGGTTTGACTTTTGGGGGGTGGACATTTGACCAGTGTTCGAGGGGTTAAAAGTGGGGATCTGAACGATAGTCACCAGGGAGAGGTTGGGATGACCTAGTTGTATGCAGTGTCACATTTCGAGCTCTAGTTGGCCGTCCACCTCTGGCTTACGGTCGTGGTTTCGATCCCTGGTGTTAGTGCACGTGGCTTGGAGGTAGGGGCACCTTCTCAACATCATGAGTTTACTCTAGGTCCTCCTGTTTCCTCCCACAAGAAAAAACCCCGTGCGTGCGCTAAGCTTATAAAAATAAGAAAATCTGCGATATCACCCTCGGTGGAAGCGGACGTTAGACACTAACAGAAGAAGAAGATAGCAAGGACCAGAGCCCCTAAAAGACAATCTAACTAAGGAGTCGTGCACATAATATTATAATGGTGATAAAATTGTGAATTGTTTGTATTTCATTGGTTCATTATTCATTCTTTCATTTAAACATGTCTATTATTGTTATGTTTCTAATAATCCTTCCTTGTTAACTATACGTTAAGCTACTTATCTAATGACAGACGGTTGACAGCTGACACATTAATGAGTTTAATTATTATCTTATTGTTTTATTTTTCTGTAATGTCCTTTATTTTTTAATCTCTCCTCTTTAATGGCTATTAGTAAAATTGGGGTATATTGTTAATTCCTAACTAAGATAGCATTTTATTATAAATACCGATTTGTACATTGACAAAGCATTCTAGGTTTCATCTCGTTTCCAGGACAGTTACTCTGTTTGTTGGACGTGCTGTTCTACGTATATGATGTTTAATATTTTACGGTAATAGTTCTAGTCTTTAGTTATTATCGAAGATTTACACGGCTACAGATTGGTGGAGTGCTTTGTGAGGCAGGATCTAGGAACCTCTTTCAAGCGAGAAACCCAAAGAAAAATCAGATATGGAACAAATAGTGATACCCGATGAATTGGCGGAAATAATGAAAATAATGAAGATCAACTCAAAGGCCAACCAATGGAGGATAGACCATAAAGGTAGTAACACTTCCATTGTTTTAACGTGGTGCAGTTTTCATCATGATTCAGATAGATCAAATAGAAAACCTACTAGCAAACAGAACAGAGATTTTCTAGGAGGCCAGCGTTTTGAGGACATGATTTCTGCAAACAGATCGAGCGTATCATCAATAAATTCGATTTCTACAAAGGCAGACATCGCAATTCAGATTAGCAAGATATCGTCAACCAAATCTAGTGAATGTTAAACAGATTGTCTTGGACGTTTGGATAAATGTATAATGGCTATTCCGGTCACATATACAAAGAGTGTCCAAACGCTTGACATAAAACCCAATACAGATTTGGTCAAACCGGATGTTATGGTAGCTTCAACGCCACTGATCCAAGAAACAGAAAGGGTGTTAAAAAGGCGTGTTAAGAATTAAGAAGGGACAGCTTGGATACTTAATCCGATGGAAGAATCAACCCGCAACCAAAAATTTGTGGGTGAAAGAAGACAAGTTGGACCAGAAAGCTGTTTCCTTTATAGCTAACTATCCGAATAAAATTGCTGGCCCAGGGCAGTGGTTTGTAGAAACGTTGATAAATCAACATAAACGGAATCAGGAAGAGCTTAAGGTCTTCCCAAGAGGCATGTGGACATATCCAGCTAAATCAAGTTTGAAATTAGCGGGATTTACCCGAATGGAAATTAATAAAAAAAAATCTGGAAAATTACAGTTAAATTACAGTTACGGTTTTAAACTACTGACCTTTTATGTGTTCGCTGATCTCTAATTATTACATTCCCGTTCGAATGTTGCTATAGTTTTGCATGTTTTTATTTATTCTGCATAAGCAATTAAATCGATATTATCGATGCCGTAGGTTAATTCATAAACTCTTTAGCATATAAGTTTCTTTCGAATATTATGTTTCATTTAATTTCAAACTCAAGTGTTAGTTAATTCATAGTATAGAATTTGTCGACATTATAATTATATATTATTATCGTCGACTTAGTTATATATGTCGCCATAAGCCATT